GTAATTGAAAATTTATACGAAAGAAGTCTGTCACACAGGAAGTGCTTATAATTTTTAGTAAGAGAAGTAGGATTCTTTATCCGAGAGCATAAATATAGAAAAGAAAAACGTACTAGAAGACTCTTAAGAAATTTAATATGTATTTAAAATTACTACAACACAAGCGCCCAAAAGTGGCATAACCTCACTACAATGGGAGAGGTTTATTCCAGCTGTGGACTCGAATAAAACAAGAAAAGTCTATATAATGTTTTACGTTGGTTTATGTAGCTGTCGAATGGTAAAGGAATGCACAAAACGTGAGCGAATCCCGTAAAGAAGCATACGCCGTTAAATTGGGCAATTTATGAGCTCACGGTGTACAAACTATACGGTGGCTGGACCGGCGCGTTACCGGTGCCACGGTGCCGGTGATTTAACTGTTACTATGATTATGCTATACTGAATACGTCACCGGAGTTTTATAACACTTAATAACGCTTTAACAAATTTGTCACAATTTCACGTTGCTAGTTGTATTAAGTAGAAAAGATAAACAACATAAGATGTATAGCTTAATAGCGTATTAGAGGTACACGAGGATAAAGAAATACTAAAAAAGAAAGACGTAAATCAATACAATCTGTGTAATAATGAAAAACGTGTTCTACCAATGAATAGATTAATCAAAGTAAAAAAACAAGGGCGTTACTCAAAAATATTGATGATATAATAAATTACCAAAAAGTATAACCAGTCTAAACTATAGCATATTTAAACGGAACCTTAAGTATTTTTCTTTGAAAATAACCCATTTTACAAATTCGCACAACTTCTTTGTGGAATCAATTACCACCAGCGAAATTTCCGAACCGATACGACTTAGGAACCTTCAAGAAAAGAGCTTACACTTTTCTAAAAGGCCGGCAATGCATCTGCAATTCCCCTGGTGTTGCGGTTGTTCATGGGCGGCGGTAGTCACTTACCATCAGATGAGCCGCATGCTCGTTTGCCCCCTATTCTATAAAAAAAAAGTTAAGCGAATACATGTCAAGGCAACTCTTGGAATCATCATTCTTGTGCAACGTGCAAACGAAATAACTTACTTAATTCTATGATGTAAAGCGTCAATGTAACTAAATTAAAGTACAATAATCTAATTAAATAATGTAATTTAACCTTATAAATTTAAGAAATTTTGTAACCAATGACTTGCATGTAACGATTGTTATATTAAGGCCAATAAATATTTCTGATTGTGATTCTGTATTATATATTTTTTTGGTACAATAACTGACTGTCGAGTTTCGCGACTACTTGACTACACTAATACACTTGTCTTAATTGCTTTCATATTCCTGAGCAAACTGTCATGTATCCATTGTTAATTACCATGTAAATAAAACCATTACAAAATAAAAAAATTAGAAAATGTGTTAGTTATGTTTAGAAATTTGTAGGCCATACAAAAACAAGGAACACTTATTTGAAGGCCATTCAAATTATTGTTCTATGCGCACCAACGTCGAAGTCAAACGCTTGGTCATTACTCTAGTGAGCAGTCCAAACGTTTTTAGCAACTACGAGTACATACAATGTTTCATATATGTAAGATACAAGAAACATTGTGCTTTGTGGCATTCCTTGGGGGAAGCCTATGTTCAGCAGTGAACTTGTGAAGGGCTGTGACGATGATGAAGATGATGAAGATACAAGAAATATTGTAAAGTAGATTGGTCAATAAAAGCGCTCGCTGTAAATTTCACAGTACGCGAGCAACCCGGGTTCGATCCCCGCCGGTACCAATGAAATAGTTCATTGCAATTTTAAGTGCTGATTTACCAGGTGCTCAAAATATTTCGAAGACATGTGAAGTTCTCCAACACGCATTGGGGCAGCGCGACGAATATTTCCTTGCTCTAAAACCCTCTCAGAAACAACAGGAGGCCTGCGCCCAGCAGTGGGACGTATATAGGCTGTAACTTTAACTTTTAACAATAAAATATTGATATAAAAATCATATTTAAGTCACAATGGTCTGAAAATATACTTTAGACAAATATGTATAAATATACTGTAGTGGTTTTTAAAGTGGTTTAAAAAATAAATAATCACTTGTAAGGTTTCGATTTATGTTCGGGGCATATTTCAAACGGGTACAAAGTAAGGTATACACACTCCAACAGTTTCTGTTTATAAGGTCTGATCGTAGGTTCCGCTGTGAGGATATCTGGGCTAAGGTGTCTATTGTGCTGTGGTCGAGTTACGGTGAAGTAACAGTTTCCTTAATTCCTTTTGTTGTTATCTCTGTAGGAAACGAGACAACCGTTTATCCGCGTGTTCTTTATGTGGCTTTTATTCATAATGATGTTCGTATAAAGTCTTGCATGCGTGTTATATTTTATTTTTAAGAGTATTAAAGTATGTTAGCATGCCACGAATTTTACGAAATGATCGTTACCATAAACCGCTGATGTGTTGTGGTACGTTAAAAGTTGTCCACAATGTCCCCTCTAACTGCGAATTTTTTAAGACTCATGCCACATAATAGTTAAAGCGTTTGTATGTGACCGTTGAAACGGTTTTTGTATACGGGTTAACTGTGAGACCGTCAACAAAAATGTTCGCGCCATATTAATTTATAGAGAAATCAAACCAAATTCAAACTTAGGCAAATTTATTTTTCTAGTTATAACCTAAAGTACTTGTGTAAATTCTTATTTGACCACGCATTCATAATGGTAACGTATTGCTGATATGTCGCAGAACCGGATTTCAGATTATCTTCTTTTTCGAGAAATGGTGCCTTTTGGGAAAGTAGTCCGAATTTGAGTAGCGGTACCTGTAAAAGTGCAATTAGGTTTTTTTTTTAAATCAACTAAATAAAAATAAATATTGCTGCCCGTTCTTTAATAGCTTTGGTTTTTGTTACTAAACACTTTTACATTTACGATACCCGTGGACTCTATATGAATAATTAATGAACGTGGTAAACCGAGCAAAACGTTATAGAGTGATCGAAAGCTGTCTGATTCATTAAACATGTTCAAGAATGATTTCAGCCGTTCTCTGTGTAAAGAGTGTATAACAATCGTTTTACTTTCACGTTTAAAATGTTCATTCATCTACTTGATCAAAAGGCCAGTGAAAGCGATATTGCAATTCAAAAAATAAATGGAAACGCGTGTCACTAACTTTCCTGTTAACTTTCGTGGACCCCCAGTTGAGTTGGTCATGACCTGCATTCTATAAACATTACGCATGTATGTACAAGTATAAGTTAAACGAATGTACACAACCTTATCAGACGTAAGAATATGCCGTAGATATAGGTAAATATTTAATTAATGTAAAATAGAAGTCTTTGATATTCAGTAGAAGGCGAGATATGGGGTTCTGTGTATTTTACATAAATTGAAAAATAAGGAATTTGTATTTTAACTAGGAGGTACAAGACCTGCAGTGTAGCCGAATAATAGCGTGTATGTTGTGCAAGACGCACGCTCCGCCCCGCTGCACGCTCGTCACACAGTTTCTACACTTACGTTTACGTTTTTTTTCAAACTCAAACATTTATTTCTAAACCATAATGTACACAAGATGTTATAAAATAATGTGAAACCAGTGTTATGGACCCTGTTGGGCACGCAATTTAGGGGCTAGAAGAGAGGAAGCCTATTTAACTACTTATAAGAATGTCATTGTGATTTATTGAGATAGAATTCAATTTAAATTAGTGATCATTTTGTAAAACCTCACATATTTGTAAAATATTCATTAGTACTAAAGTAATATTTATTAGTTAGGTACTGTTTTAATTTTTTTTGTAAATATGATGTCATTATTTTCATTTTTTAATATGTCAGGTAGTTTATTATATAATTTTATGGAAGAACTTAATGTGCTAGAACTGTTTAGTTTTAATCCGGAAGTTGGCAATACTAATTTATTTTTGTGTCGTAACGTGTATTTGCATGGTAAATCTTTACGTTTTGTATAAAATTGCTTATTTTTTCGAACAAATTTACACATCTCCAATATATAAAAGCTGGGTAAAGTTAATATTTTATATTTAAAAAAGAACGGTCTGCAACTATCAGTCTATATATTTGCTATAATCCGGATTAATTTCTTTTGAAGTGTGAATAGAGAGGCTTCATCCGTGCTGTTGCCCCACAAAATAATGCCGTAACTCAGCCAAGTGTGCGCATACGCATAGTAGGTTGTTATTGCCGTTTCTATGTTGGTACTTTTTTTAAATTTCACGTAATGCATATGAAAAGCTCAAAAGTTTAGACCTCACTCTATGGACATGCGCTTTCCAATTCAAGTGAATGTCTATATCTATACCGAGTAATTTAAATTCTTTCACAGATTCTAAAATTGTGCCATTGTAATCGAATTTTAAATTTAGTGAGGTTTTTTGATGGGGATGAATAGTTAATATTTTAGTTTTAGAAAAATTTATTTCGTCGCCAAACAAGACAGACGTTTCTTCTATAGCTTTAGGAAGGTCATTGATGTAAATCAAAAATAAAAGACATCCAACGACACTTGTTTTTGCTGTATTTGAAATTGTCAATGATTGATTATCATAGTTGACGTATTACAGTAATTAATTCAGATTAATTACTAATTAATTAATTAAATTAAGTAACTAATTAACTCAGATGATAGACTATAATATAATTGGCTCCATTCCTCATTATGTATGGATAAAAATATCACGTTACGCTTGATGTACAACTTTCAATTTCATCTTTATTGGATCTATATAGTTTTTAATTGAATAAATCTCGATAAGGTAAATTGTAGGTATTGAATTAATAAGAAATATATTTATATTTTATGATTTAATTGATAAAATGTAATTGTTTCAAGATAAAATTATTTACTTCTAATTGTATCTAAGCGAATTGCATTTATAATTTTAATTAAGTAACCGAATCCCCTGAAAATAAGATAAATCTGTCCCCGGATTCTTATAAGGGTATAATTCTTGCAGGCGGAGATCAGGCAGTATGATTGGTAACGCGCTGGGGCTGGCGCCTTTAGCGCTTCTTATCCTGCAGGCATCGTCCGTGCTAAGTGAGTAGAGAATTTTTTATTTTATTTTATCCACAAAGAAATTTATAACTGCAGTTGCGAACCAGTGATAAGTGTGACAACTATGTCACATATCCCCACTATGAGTCATGTCTAACGTCCATGTTACGTCTATACTGATAGTTTTTGTGAAAACTACGCTCGTAGTTGTTTACCTTAGACAAAATGTCCGATTAGGTAAGTCCAACTTCGACTAAGAGGTCAACTGACGAATCTATCTCGGCTGCCCTGCGTGTGACAAACTGTGAAAGATTTTTTGATATTGTCCGGAGCGATAGGAAGAAAGTGTCAGTAAGTGTTGTCAGTGATGATTTACGGAAGCTATACGTCCTTCACTTCTGGCTGTATGAAGAAGATCCAAAAAGTTACTCTGCTTGTGCTGGAAAGGACTATGCTCGAAATTTCTTTGCAGTATAAAATATAAAACGAAGAAATCTGCAGAAGAACGTGAGTTACTGGCTTAGCCTACCGAATGAGTAAGCTGAAGTGGCAATGGCCCTACCGTGTAGCGCGATGAACCGACAACCGATGGGGAAAAAGGTTCTCGAGTGTCAGCTTCGTTCTGACATGCTCATTGTTGGCCGATACCCCACTAGATAGGATCAGCTTGTGCTGGTGGCTCAAGACCTCATTTTATATACTTACATCCCCTTTTAAATATAATATTAGATAATAAAAAATAATAGCGACCGCGTGATTTAATAATCACATATTCAAAGAAGCGGTGAGTAGTTTTGAGTGTCAGTCGGATAGAATATTTGTAAGTTTTTCGTTTATAAGCCTGACTTCATGTCTGGATGCATTGTAATTATCTTTAGATAGGTCCAGTACAGTATAACGTCCATGTCACACCTATGCCGGTAGTTTTTGGAAGCTCTAAGTTCGAAGTTGTTGACGAGTATGTTTATCTGGGACAAATAGTTCCACTAGGTAAGTCCAACTTCAAGCGACGGGTTCAACTCGGCTGGGCAGCGTTCGGGAAATTACGGCGCATCTTATCGTCAGGTATACCTCAAAACTTAAAAACGAGACTGTACAACCAGTGCGTGCTGCCAGTGACGACCTATGGAACTGGTGGCCGGATGAGGAAGCTCAAGCTCAGCGAGCTATGGAGAGGGCTATGCTCGGGGTTTCTGTGCGTGATAAACTTAGAAATGTGGATATCCGCAGTAGAACCAGAGTGACCGACATAGCCCAACGGATCAGTAGGCTGAAGTGGCAATGGGTCGGTCATATAGCTTGAAGAACCGACAACCAATGGGGAACGAAGTTTCTCAAATAGCAGCCTCGTACCGGCGGACGAAGTGTAGGGCGTCCCCCCACTAGATGGAGTGACGACCTGGTAAGACATGCAGGAAGTCGATGGATGCAGGTGGCTCGGGACCGTAAAAGTAAAGTAAAGTTGCAGCCTATTTACGTCCCACTGCTGGGCACAGGCCTCCTCTCTTTTCTGAGAAGGTTTTAAGGCAATGAAATGTCCGCCGCGCTGCCTCAATGCGTGTTGGCGAACTTCACATGTCTTCGAAATATTTTTTTTTAGGTTTTCTCACGATGTTTTCCTTCACCGCCGAGCACGTGGTAAATCAGCACTTAAAATTGCAATTAACAATTTCATTGGTGCCGGCGGGGATCGAATCCGGGTTGCTCGATTACTGTGAAGCTTACAGCGAGCGCTAACTATCTGAGCTACCACGGCTCAAGACCGTGCTTTGTGGCATTTTTTTTTTAGGATAAGGGTGACAAACGAGCACGCAGTCCACCTGATGGTAAGTGGTTGCTGTGGCCCATAGACATCTACATTTATCCTCGATTACGAATCAAAATGCAGATGCGTTGTCACCCGTGAGGTCTAAGATGGAATGCCTCGTTTCCAGTAAAAAGGCCATTTCTTGAGGGAGGTTTATGTTCATCAGTGGAGTTGTGAAGGGCTGTAATGATGATGATGATGAGGTCCAGTATGGTTTTTAATGTGCATGAACTTGCGTTCTGTACTATTCGTGCACAAAAACATAATTTTCTAAATAATATGTGTTATTTAATTTCGAATATCTCTTTTGTTTTAGGTCGAATCGCATTTGAAAAGTTGACCGATGTTGATTTCGCTGGCACCGCGTATTATACAGTACGTAACCTATCATTGTACGAGTGCCAAGGCTGGTGTCGCGAAGAAAACGACTGTCAAGCAGCTGCTTTCAGGTACTTCCGAATCTTACTTTCAGGTACAAAAAGTGTTTTTAAATCTAATAAGATTTAAAAACTCTTTTTTTGACTCAAGGGTATTATTAATTAAAATGTCATCACAATTACAGTATAACATAAAGCCACTGTTTAACAGTAGCTTCTGCCATAGATTGCCAGTCACTGGTATCCATAGCCTTCTTGACACTGGTATTCCTGGCCTTCTTGTTTTATTCGTCAGGTTGTCTCTTCATATTTCAGGAGGAAATTAGGTTACATTCTTAAAATAAGAGGGGAAATGCCCAGCAACAGGAAAGTTTAGGTAGTAGAGCCATGCTGCAGCTATATTAGTAGTATTGTTGTAGTACGAATGGGTCGTCTCTACCGGTGTCTCTACACTCACCATACGAAACACAGCAGCTTATCACTGCTGTGTTTCGTATGGTGAGTGTAGAGAACCGGAGACCCTTTTTACTGCAAAAGAGGCATTTCATTTTAATCCTCACGGGTGATAATGCATCTGCGTTTTGATTTTTATATAGTATAGATGTATCTACATAAAGACTGTCTATGGGCCGCAGCAACCACTTACCATCAGGTGGACAGTGTGCTCGTTTGTCACCCTATCCTATAAAAAATAAATAATCAGCTAAACTTTATGATTATAGTTAGGATTTGATGCTTGCATATTTAGAAGGATAAGTTAGCATATTACTAAGTATAAATCAATTTAGAGCTCATTAGTTGTATTCATTATCTTCGGAATCCTCCCGACTGGATATAACGAGCTGGACCGGTCCTACTTTACTTTTAATTGGCTGTTCAGACACTAAGTTGTCTATTCCTTATTATCTAAAGCTATCTATAAAGAACTTAATAGGATAAGACAATCGCTAATCTATTTTAAAATGCGCAGGTATAAAATCAATTTTGCAAAACGAAAACATGACTCGTCATCCGTTGACTTCTCATGAAATTAATAACGACCAACATATCGTAGACATCTCAGATCACGAAGCTTCTGACCTAAATGTCACAGATAAGCAATCAGATTGACGCGAAGATCCACTACTTCACATGATTTGAACTCTGACGAAGAATAACCATTAGGTGAACAATTTATAGCTTGGCATCTTTTAAATATAGATTGCAAATGTTGGTTGGAATGTGTGCCAGTTTGCCACACGTGCCATGCAGTTCAGACGTTCCAATGTCACGGTGTTGGTTAATAACAATGCGCCCAAGAACCGCTCGCCACAAACCGTGTAAAAGCGGAAACCAACCTCGATGCGCTCCAAATTGGATAACAGTAAAAGTGATCGCATACATCTTCAGTAGATTAATGCCGGCAAATTACTTGTAAGTCGTTTGATAGATTTCATGACTACTGGCGGTTTTAAATGTCTAGTTAAATTAACGTACTATGTGAATGCGATTTTCAGTAACATGAACTAATATTCGATTTCTTTACTTTTAATTGCTCACTTAAAGTAGTTCTACTTTAAGTGAGCAATTAAAATAATGTAATTTTAAAATATCAGAATTAAATTATTAATGATTCTTTGATTTATTCATTTCAAACCAGATAGAAACTATAAATGAATAAATCATTACTCTTACAACCTCTTTCAAATCAAGACGAGGAACTACCATCGCTGCATTTAGCAAGTGGTTTGGCGATCACAACAGCTCTTTTCTCTTGTCGTCTAGTCTTCATATAAACTATCACTTTTAAAACAATTCCTATAATTGTGTTTAAAACCAAAACTATAAGTAATCATCATCATCATCCACATCATAATATTCATCATCAGCTCGTAAAAGTGCTGCCTGCTCGAAAAAGTTGCGAAACTTTAAATAATTATTACCAATAGATATATAAAAATTATAAAAGTGTTTAATTGTAGCAAGTTTTGTAGATACCTTAATATGTTTTTTGAATAAAGTTTCAATAAGTGAAAAGTCATTTACTGTAAGGTACTGTATCATTACTGTGTTACCGCAAAAAAAATCTAATTGCATTGGACATAACAGCATTGGTTTATAACAGTATCGCTGTTTGGTAGATTCTTTGAAATCAGTCCGATTGGCATTGGAATTCAGTTCGTTGTTCGTTTTGGTATTCAGTAGTATTCAATTAAACGAGACGTTACTTTCCCGCATTTCTAATTCACCATTGTACAAACGTATCTCAAATCAATCTGTCCAAAGAATGAGTGACCTGACAAATGATTTGCTCGAATGGGATTTTAACAATCACAAGCTGATGACCCCAAATTTTTATTGCGGTGGTTTTGAGTAATGCTTGGTTATGCCGTCTTAGAAATAAAATGAGCAATTTCTGTATTTGTTTTTAAATATTCAAACATAAGTGATAGCAAGGTTTCCTCGTTGAATTGCTATACTTTATACTTAGGCTATTAGAAGAGAAAACAACCAGCAGTCTCGTCACTAGTCGCGACGACAAGTCTTGGATTTGATGAACAATAGTTTAATGCTTTGTTAAAAGATCGATAAGACAATTTAATAAGCAAAACATTTTGCCGTTGATTTAATACTTATTGATACAGAAAGTAAAATAAGAAATTAAGTACCCGTAAAAGTTAAAAGATAGCACGAGATCTCGGCTTAGGGTTCTGTCTCGATCTCTATGTTTTGCCTCCCGGTACGGGGCTGTCACTCGAGAATCTTTCTTTCCAATAGGTTTTCTCATTTCCAACATATTTGCCATAGTTGCCTGACAAGCGGTTTGCAACCGCAGTTTTTTATTGTAGTTTTGTTGTTACCAGAAAGATGCTGCTGACCATCTCTTGTCTCAGTCCAGTCTCGTACCGGTAGGCGAAGTGTAAGGCGGGCCTCCACTAGATGGAGTGACGACCTCGTAACACATGCAGGAAGTTGATGGATTTTTGCGGAGGCCTATGTTCAGCAATGGACTTATGAAGGGGGCTGTTTTCAATGATGTACTGAAATATCAAGATATATGCTTATGTATTCTCTCCTATTTATGTAATCCTAATTCATTCTCACGTCAGAGTGTCAAGATCACTGAATTGACTGGAAACTGAACTACTCTAAGTCCATTAGGGTTTTTAGTTTATGATATTTTTAAATATCTTATACTTTGGTACAATAAAGAATAGGATTCTGTGCGAGACTGAGTTAGATTCACCAAACAAAAACGATATAATTTATTTTGAATATGTGAAAGCGTAGTAGCTGGTACTGCAAGTTTTTATACTACTAAAACTGTGTTATTTTTTAATTCTATTACAAAGCAGCACAAAAATTGTTTAAGAAGTTTGAATGGGGGAAGTCTTTAATTTATAATAGAGAGAACATAATAACTTAATATAATTTAACATGTTTAGTTACTTGTTATGAGATATTGTTTTAGTAGTTTCTTTTTTAATAGTAAGTCGTGCTGAATAATCAATTATATCATTAAATCAAACAATGCAAAGTAAAATACACACAACGTATTATTTCAGCGGCTGATCATTATACACAAAATTATTAAGAGAGATGAAACTCATTGATATGATTCACGAGCTACTTACCAGTTTTGATCAACGCCTGATTAATCAATGTATTGTTTATTCGAGCTCTAAAGCGCCAGAAATAATTATTTACTATAAATGTAAAGTTTAAATATAAATATAATAAAAACGTTGCGCTTATGTAAGGAAAAAAAAGAGGACATGTCTTCCATGTCCTCATTTTTTTTTAAATATTAAAATCGATATTTTTTATTCACACCAGAAGCGCATACTTAGAAAATTTGGTGTCTTTAACTTCAATAGAAAATATTATCTTCTAGAGATCTAGAGGTTGGTGACCCTTTGGTGAGCCTAATAAAATATATTATCCATGCCCACACACTAAAAATGTATTAATAGTGTTTTCACTTTTAAGCGTAGACCTACTTCAGTATGATAAGAATTGTTTATAAATATATTATTAATTAAAATAAATTAAATTAATAAAATATAATATAGTTATAATATAATTTTACAGACGTCTCCAGTCTGGAAAATTTAGGTACAGTTTTTATGGAGTCATTTTTCAGGTGCCAAAAATTTTTCTTTTTAGGTGTTTTTTATTGGCAAGTTAAGCAAAATTCAAAATTTTTAAATCTAAGCTGTAGCTTACCTAATATGACGTTCTAGTTTAAAGCATTTCAATAGCCTACTAAGAACGCTAAATTCATACTTTTTGGTGATTTGGTAAAGCACTTGTACTTGTTTCAGAATATTATTTTAAATTATTAGTTTATTGACTATGATTGAAAAAACCGATCGGTTTTTATAAAGTCTAAATTCTCTCACGAGTGACAATGCATCGGTCGCATTTTTGTTTGAATTTGCAAATGTCCATGGACCATCAGGTGGACGATAAAGTAATAATAATAATAGCACAGCCTAAGAGGAGGCCTCGTAGTTAGACTTTGGTAATTGAGTTTTGTGACGATAAGCTAGTATGTCATTCTTATGATGCAAACATATAACTAAATGAATAGACAATATGTTTTTGATTACATTTGAGTTTTATCTTTTAATACATATTCAGATCGTTTTAAAGTTTTAAACGCTTTCTTTATCAAAGCATCTACAGCTTTGATTAATAGTAACTATCAAAGATTTTGAGTGGAGCTTGCTTGCCTACTGTAAATTTATCTTTGGTACATTTAAGTTGCTCCCAAACAGCGGAAGGCCCTTCCATTTAATTATAGCTTTAATAACATAACACGGATGATTGATTTATTACGCTAGTCGCAAAACCGAAACTGAAATCAATGTCATTAGTTTAAGGGCTTTCGGTGCATTAATCATAAATTCTTCACAGTAAGTTAAAGTGTACAGCTACCCAAACATAGATCTGCCCGTGTCGGCTATTAATTAAGAATATCTCGTCGGTTAAGAGGTTAATGATATACGTAGCCATGCCTTTAATGTTATGTTGTAATTAAGAATATTAATGTAAATTTAACTAAAAATTCCGATTATTAAGAAGTTGTCCCCGTGGTCGTAATGGCCAAATCACATCATCCATTACAGCCCACTCATCAAAAGTCCATACGTAGACTTCCCCCATAGCTTTGCTTATAGGGGGGATTTTGTCACAGTTGCCACGATAGGCACGCTGGTTGGCAACCCCAGGTTTTATAATTTTGAGTTGCTATGAAGAATCATCATATTGTAATGTACAATATGATGATGATGCCAATTTTATACGTGGTAGAGCCATGCTACAGCTATATTAGTAGTACTCGTATAGTTGTAACACGAATGGGTCGGCTCGACCGGGGAAGGACCACGCTCTCACAGAATACCAGCGTAAAATAGCAGCTTAACACTGCTGTGGTTCATATGGTGAGTGTAGAGAACCGGAGACTCATTTTACAGGATAAGAGGCATTCCATCTTAGTCCTCACGAGACAACGCATCTGCATTTCGATTCGGAAGCGAGGATGGATGTGGATGTCTATGGGCCGCAGCGGCCGCTTGCCGTCGGGTGGACTGTGTGCTCGTTTGTCACTTGATCCAATAAAAAAAAAAAACATTTCCTAAATGTCCCTTAAGCAAGGCTTTAAAAAACGATTTGAATATTTTTAAAGAACTCTAGGTCGTCTTTTATTGTGCAGGTGAATAACGATTTACGGCATTGCTATATAAATTCCAGAGCACGGAATTTGCAATTACCTGACAACAATTATCTTAAACGCGAGCGAACTAATTACTTGAATGCTCTCTTATAACGACTAGACATTTATAGTTCAACACAACTGCAGCTACTATTAATGCTTTATTTACTATCGCGTATTGAGAACGCATAGTCGGCAATATAAAATAACCGTTACTATGAGCTTTTATTGCGGTTGTAAAGGGGTGAAGTAATGTTTTCCGTTATAAAACGATGCAAATTACTTTTAAATACTTTAATTTTAAGAGAAAATATGATGTGAAATCGATTTTCATCCCAGTCATGATTAGTTTTAACCTTATTTGGTTACTAGCTGTTACCCGCGACTTCGCCCGCGTGGTATTTGGGGTTTTAATTTTTTAGCGCGGAACCCTAATTCTTTTTCTAAAGTAAAAGTAGCTTTGAAGTCGACTAAAGCAATCTTGCAGACAGAGTGAATTTTTATAATTATAAAAAATCGTAGCAATTGATACGCGACTTCCTGACTAAAATTATTTCAATCAATATATGAGTTTATGGTTAAAGATATTTTATTCTCAAATGAAATATATATTTCACTTAATGAGAAGTTATAATACATATTCAAATTAATTATATCTAGATAGGCTGTAAAGCACCCGAAATGTCGGGAATTAAAAAGTTAAATTAAACGCGATAAAATAAAAATAAATTAGTTTCATTTAATGTGTAGTCTTCGCGTAAATATAAGAAATCATTATACCTAGGAAAGAGTTTCGTGACATACAACTTCTTACTAATTTAGTAAACACAAACATACAGCATACAACTTATAGTCCAAGAGGAATCGGTGCACGAGTACCAAAAACTATTCCACCCATTCACGTGATTCCTCATTATTTTTTTATGCGATTCTCTTCAAATCGTCCTACTGATGATATAAATGCATGTTGCCATGATACAACTCGATGCCATATTGTTTCAACCGAAAAATCTTTAATGCAAATACTTTTGTCACTAAAAATATATAAAGAAAAATAATAAAATAAAAAAGGCACATATTTTAGGTGTACCATATTTAATTTTACAACGCTGTGTTCATAGATACGCAGATGCAACAGCGGGCAAAGGCTACTTGCCACTGTTCACAACACTGCACTATTCTATCGGCATTTAGGTACAATTTGACTACTGATACTGAATACCTCACGGACTACAACTAACTCATTTACATCTAAACATTTTAAAATACAATGGCAGAGAAAACTATATATTTATAGCCTTGTATATTTGCATGGAATTATAATAAAATACAAAATATCTGGCGTCGATAGGAACGGTAAATGGCTCCGTTATGTGGCTGCAAGTAGTAAGTGTAACGCGCAGCTCTCAGTGTCATTAGTAAATAAATGCAGACGCCGCGACATTGGCTTAGGCTTAACATCGCGTTCTTCGAGTTAAAACTGTTTCTGGACTTTGATTTGACTTTCTAATTCCTAGAATTATACTACTAAGAATTTATATAGTTCACATTCTTAACCATTTATTCATTACTTTGGAGTTTTCTTTGGTATCTAAAGTATAAGTACTTAAATTAATATAAATAGTAATCTTTTCTAAAGTTTATGTGAAAGAAGACAAAATGGCACCAGCTGATTATTCTGAAACTTATGATGTAAAGTTTTTAACAGATGGTTGAATAAAAAAGGAGAGTACAGAGGTTTTTCTCAATCCCCAAACTTGCCTTCGCGGGGTAACTAATGAAAGAGACTTTGGCCACCAGCTGTTGGCAGAAAATCTATCCAAATTTTTCGAATTCAAAGCCATAAACAAGGGATGGGAAGTTGCATCACTGGTGTTAGGATATAGATCGGCTTATCACCACCAATCTATCTTCCTAGTATTGGGTACGAACAGTTATTGCAACGCTAGTTGGTGCATTCTAGTAAAGCACGTAGCTCATCTGATAGCAAATGGATGTTGGGCACATAGATACTGAAAAACTATTGATACTATCCGATTAAAAATCAAAATGTAGATGCATTGTCTTCAATAAGTATTAGCAGCCTCGTTACCAGTACAAAGGGTATCTGGTTCTTGGCACTTCGTAAATCTAGCAAAGAAGTTTTTATACTGTTATTTTTAGCCAGATTATGGGGCCCTTCCCCGGTCGAGCCGACCTATTCTTGTTGTAGCCACAGTACTCTCCAGCGTAGCTCTACCAAGTAAAAAATTAAAAGATTTGGACAAGTAAATATTAGCGCGCTCCCTCGTATGTATAATGTCTCCAGCTTTTGATTATTTGGAAGTTGTATCCTTCATAGAAAATCATGAAATCATTAACATCATTTATTTTGGACCACATTTCAGTTTATTTCAGAAATTGTCTATTTACAATTTTTTACAGTTGCAAAGAATGTATTTTTTCTGCTTAAAACCTTGTAATTTCTTTTATGTATTTGTAAGGATTTAATATGAATTTTTATGAGATACATAATCTTTTTACGTGGTAGAGCCACGCTGCAGCTATATTATGGTTGTAGCACGAATGGGTCGGCTCGACCGGAGAAAAGATTCCAGTTACTGGAAACGAGGCATTCCATCTCAGTCCTCAGGGTGACAACAAAAATCTACATTTCGATTCTTAATCGAGGAGTAGGTGTCTATGGGCCACAGCATCCACTTACCACCACGTGGACCGTGTGTTAGTTTGTCACCATTATTCTAAAAAGAAATGCATAAATCTAACACTTAAAAATTAATAATTTTTGGAAAATAGACTTCAATCCAACATCATCACTACAACGCCCGTTATCGCCGTTATCACTAGTTTTACAACGATCTTAATCATATTAGGACATGAGCAACTTTTCAAAACAAATTGAGGTGCATTCCAAACAACATGATTATAATATATTGCTCATTAAACTTCTCCGATTTCTTATTAAAAATGTGATTTTAAATTTAAATTTATGGAATGTCTATTCTCAATCTTAAAATGGGGCTTCTTTGTATTTAATCAGCTAAGCAATAATTGTATTGACCATTTATCATACAGTAGCTTCAAAAGTGGAATTGGCCGCGTAACTAATAACATATACTCGTAATACCTGTTCATTTATTTTTATAATGTCTAATATTTCATCAGAAATCGAGAAAAGCAGCTCTTGTATAAAAGAAGACACAACAATTTTATATGTTCTTACATACTAACTTTATTGCGAAACCTGAATCCGCCTAATCTGTGCAAAGGAACTAGACTTCAAGTATCATCGCTACGTAATAATGTGATTGAGAGTATCATTCTTACAGGAGCAGCGGCAGGTCAGTTGGCTCATATTCCCCGCATTCCCACGATCGCTACAGATTTAGCTTTTCGATTTAAGCGATTACAGTTTCCAATAAAATTTCATAAACAAATCTGAAGGTGAAACATACAAATATATTGGACTTGACTTAAGGAAAGATTGTTTTACTCACAGACAATTATATATTGGTTTCTCTAGGTCAGGAAATGCGGAGAATCAATTTATATTAAAGCCGCAGAAAAATGGAACAAAAGTGTGTTATACGAAGAAGTTTTAAAATAAGTTTATCTATTAAGCTAAATCTGAAATATATTATACCTATATCGATAATTGTTCAACACGGGCAAAGCCGGGGCGGGCTGTTAGTTTTTTTCCCATAATCACATTTTATAACATCCACAGGTGAAAAAGAAGTGATGGATTAATTTTCGCCACCACACATGGCAAATTATGTGATAATTAATTTCAAATTGTACTTTTCATCATCATCATCATTACAGCCCTTCACAAGTCCACTGCTGAACATAGGCCTCCCCCAAAGAATGCCACAAAGCACGGTCCTGAGCCACCTGCATCCATCGACTTCCTGCATATCTTACAAGATTGTACTTAAGATTGTACTTTTACTTTAATAAAAATATCTATGGCATGTTCAAATTTGTAACATACCTATATTTTTTAGATATTTCAAATTCTTACCGGAAATTATATTTGCAGTTTCGTGCTCAACCCACTGACGCCGGTTCAAGAAACCCGTTGTTTGCTTCAGAATGATACACAAGCGAACAATCCCATGGCAACTCCACAGGTAAACTCATTATAACAATAGTCACACTATTCTTTAAAATTTAAAAATACATATCGCAGTTCTCACGACGACTATACGTTAATTTTAATTATATGTTACTTTTGTTACAAACTTTATGTTACTACATAATAATTTAATGAAATTTACTCAACTGCAACACTTTTTAAGCACGCAAATCTGCTGCAAAGCCTGTGCATGCTTTCATAAATTTGTTGCTAGTCGACTTCTCACTACCAATTAGTACGATGTCAAGATCGGATTAGCAATGTAGATTAAATCGGTCACAGCCTCGGGGTAACAGCCTCACATATTTTCTCATAGACAGTAAATATGCGGGAAGGTATAGTTTAATCGCTTTCAGGTTTAAGGAGCGGTTTATTCTATAAATACAGTGAACTAAATGCATCTTTCAATAGTGCATTGCCCTCCGAATAAAAATAAAACTATGAAGATAATAACAAAGTTCTATATATAAACCCATTCCCGGCTATTTATTGATTGAAGTACTAATTTTTGTTTTGAATTATGCAGCGTGCGGTAAATACATACTACATGGTGAAACTGCAAGTTCGGACCGAGAGCGTTTGTCTTCGCCCGTGGGCCTTCGAGCGAGTACCTGGCAAGGCGCTCCGGGGTCTGGACAATACTATAATCTACACCTCCACGAAAGAGGCCTGCCTCGCTGCCTGTCTCAATGAGGTAATGACTCTACTTTAAAGAAATTGCCAGCGGACTTTCGCGTCAGAGCTTTGAGTTAGATTGCCGTAACGATTTACGTTTCTATACCGTCCCGAGCTCGATCAGTGCAGTTAGTCTACTATCTATGTATTCAATTTATATTTTATGGTTTTGTCCCACTTCTAGTAGCTTACGAGCTGCGCTTTATATGTTTAAGGCTTATTTATGTTCATAGCTCTTAGATACAAGGGCTTTAATGTGGAATTCCTTACTTCATTGGTAATAAAATTACTGAATGTATTTCTTACCTGGTCGTCACCCCACATAGTATTGGGGGTGGGTAGGGGGGGGGGGTACCCTACACCCTACACTTTGCTTACCGGTACGAGCCTGATACTGAAGAACCTTTAATTATTGAAAATAATTATTTTAGATATTCACACAGTCCCCCTGATGATATGGGTTTGCTGTGGCCAATAGACACATATCTATTCTCGATTAAAAATCAAAATGGACAAGCGTTATCACGTCGTTTCTCGTCGTGACGAATGCCTCGTTATCAGTAAAAATTATTCTCGTCATCAACACAATATTATGCCGTTATTTCACGGTAGTATTTTGTGCGAATATTTTGAGCGTGGTCATTCCTCGTTTGATCCGACTCATCCGTACTGCAGCTTTAATATACTGCAGCATGGTTTAAGTTAATGTCAATATTATTTGCATAAATTAACAAATATTAGACTTTCCATGAACGCAAAACAAGCAGAAGTATTTTTCTAAACAATAAAACATATTGCGGGAATGAGTAATTTTACTTTGGTTAACTTCATAACATGTAAGAATATGCCGTGTGATTGTGTCATAAGAAAATCCATCACTCCATTTCGTCTCGTGCGTGTTCGTAAGAGACGACTATATATTCAATGTAGCCGGTGGAAAGAAAAGGGGAAATCTCCCGCCGGGCAAGGTGTTCTGCCCGGGGAGCGGCAAACGCTCCGAGTGATAGTTCGGAGCTATTCTATATATACTGATTTAACTTCGGAACTTTGTTAGCGCGATTTAGGCTTCGATGTGTTTCGCTTGTGGCGCGACGACAGCGCCGCCACAAAGGTCTTAAGATCTTATGGATTCCAACAAGGTGGTAAAACATTCCGTTCAAGCTAGGAATAATAAACCCAAACCGGTGACGGCGAACCAGGTCAAAGGTTCACTGTTTATCACAGACTATTAGGTGTTTGACATTGACCTTACAGTAATAACATACATCATCATAATATGTACTTACTCTGAGACATTTGAAAGACGAACGTCAACAGACGGTATAATTTGTCCAAGGGACAATGTCTCTTTTACAGAAGTAGGGTGACCAATTCACCCGATGGTAAGTAAATGCTATGGCCTATAAACATCTACATCTATTTTCAATTTGGAATGAAAATGAAGATGTGATGTCACCCCGGGGACTAAGAAGGAATGCCTCGTTACTAGTAAATAGGGGCTCCAGTTTTTTACACTCACCATACGAAATACAACAGCATTGGGTTGCCTTTTTAGACTGGTATCCCGTGAAAGTGCGGCTAACTCCAGGCCGACCCATTCGTGGTGTAGATATAATGGAAAATATAAATAAAATGGTTTCCACGACGTGATCGGCTCATATTCAGTAGTTGATTTGTACAGGCTTATGAAGAAGATAAAAGAAGATATCATAAAATATATCAATTTTATCTTTTATCCAAAAACTTTATTCCCATATATCCAGAAATAAGAAGAGGGCATATTATATTATGATTGCTGTAATGTTGTTCTAACTTCACCACAGTTACCGCTACCAATTAATTATTATTGTAGGCCATATAAATCCTTGTGGAAATACAATCCGTAACTATATGTACAGTAGCTCAACCAAATATTAAATCAATACCATACTGAGCCAAGGATAGTTACAATTATTATTAATTTATTACAATTTTCATTAGAAACGTTTCCCGTGCCGTTCAGCGGAATACGAATATGGCAGCATGCGATGTGCTCTAAGCGACTCCGACCGACGCACTGCGCAGCATTTCGTTCAGCTGGTTGATACCCCCGGCACCGACTACTTCGAAGTAAGTTTTATTACCTTTCTACAGTTCTATTTTTTTTTTAAGTTTTTTCTTTGTTTACGTTTTTTACTTTAATGGCTTTTATAAATTGAGAACAATTCGGAGCAAAAAATAACCAAGCGTTATTTTTATTAAGCGCGGTAACACTTTAATAAATAGTTTTTGTTTGATTTTCGTTAGATACTGTTGTTTTAAATAAAATTGAATGATCTGAAAATAGTGACTATTTAGATGTCACATGTTTAACAGTACGTTAACCACGAAGTTAAACATTTCGAAATAAATTTTTAGATTTTCCATATAAATAGTTCTCGCAAAACGTAAACATACATCTTTATCTTCTTACCACTTTGTTTGCACATGCCGTTTACCTGAACATTTCTCCCAATGTTACTACATTGTTAGATACTTATTTACGTGATGGTTTCTTTGTTTTCAAACAGAACTTGTGCCTAAAGGCATCGCAAGCGTGCAAGGGTTCGCGAGTCTTTAGTGTCCCTCGCGTGGGAGTGGCTGAAGACAAAGTTGCTCAATACGCGGGTCTACACTATTACACCGACAAGGAATTACAGGTACGCGGACATTTATCCCAGGCAACGTGCAGTTTATACCACTGAGAGATGGACAAGCAATTAATAAAGTTATGATAGTTTATTTTCTTCAAATAGTGAAGGGAAGTGACTCGACGACTTGTCTTATATTTACGTTAAACGTATGGATTGACCCAGGCATTTGATTTCCTTTTATGGTAAGCAAATAATTGCACCGCCTGAAGATTCGTTTTGCATAATTACGCATGTTTGAATGTTTGGGAGTTGTTTTTTTGAGTAGTAATGTTACATTCCGAGATTTTGTACGGTATTGTACTCTTATTACCTTTGAGAACGAATAGAAATATTTGACTTGTATTTCTAGTTTGTTTTTAATTTATTTACATAAGATTATTGTTTTTAATCACGATTGTTTGAAATGGAGTCTAAGAAAACCTTTACTTTGTGCCAAGAACATTATAAAATGTCAGAATTAATAATTTTAAAAATATGTTAGTATTGTAGTTTGTAACATGAGCTTCCTCCACATTACATCATCGAGAGTAAGAATGAGAATGAGCTTCTTTTCTACATATCTTATAATATACCTACTTAATTATAATATACTTACCTACCTTGACTAAATGGATTTTGATGATTTAACAGTTTTTCAGAATTTACGTAGAACCGACTTAAAATATTACCTATGTGGAAATAAATTAGTCGTTATAGTTTTTCAAGTTTGTTATAAATTAATTTTTACTATATATTCAATGTACCAAGAAAATAATAAAATAGCTGTTCTTTTTTAATATAAAGCAAATTTAAAATATTATCATTTTCAACGATAGATTTTTAGGAAAGATCGAATTAAAAATATTTAATACATGGGTTTTAATAACGAAATGTGTTTTTTGTTTTTATGCACTAAATCCAAATATTGATGTAATGTTTTTCAAAAAAGGCTAGTTAAAATTGGAATGGCAGCCTATGAGACTCCATTACTCTATTTCTATTCTTGAAGGCTGTAAAAATCAACTTTTTTACCTGCAAAATATGTCACTAACATGTAATTAATCTGTTGAACATAGAAATGCGCTGCGGTCTGGTGTTTTAGGAGAGCGCTTTTAAGAGGACCTTATCAAGCAGTTTAATTAAACGTAATGTATTATAAAACAGGTGACTTCGGAAGCTGCCTGCCGGCTTGCCTGCGAGATCGAGTCTGAGTTCCTATGTCGTTCATTCCTATATCTTGGAGCACCTCACTCGTCTGCCTACAACTGTAGACTCTACCACCTCGACCACCACACGCTACCCGACGGTCCATCTGCCTATCTAAATGCAGAGAGACCTCTCATTGACGACGGCGAACCTATTGGAAAGTACTTCGAGAATTACTGCGAGAGTGAGTATTTGCCGAATAATAATAATAATTTGCATGTGTATTAGTGTATTAATAAAGAATATGTGTAATACACTTCTAACCAAGGGTAGTTTAAAAATTTTCGCTTTCTTTATGAGGACTATTGATATGAAGGTTTTATGCTATAGTTAAAATTGAGTTTGGAGTAAATAATAATAATTACTCTTTGTTAAACTATTAACATTTAAGAATGTAAATTATTATAAAATATGCTCTACCTAATTTAATAATTAAAGTAAAGTTTGCAACTTTGAACACGGAAACAGGATGAATACGGAATTTCCAATATAATTGATTCCTATATACCTATCTATATATCTGCACAATTTCATTAAACTGATTTTTATTTTAAGTTCTATATAAAATATCTCTTGTATCGTACATAACTAATTTATTTTAAATTATTTCTTTAAAAGACTACGATTTGTTGAACAAAAACTATTTCTTATGATGGCAATTCTACTTTAATTAAGTCATATGCGAGCAGAAGCTTTCATTTTAAAAAACGTTAAGGTTGACACAAACGAAAATAAAAAAGTATAGAAGCAGCGACACTTTTGCGCTAAAAATATACTCAAATAATGATTTTAATGACCACATAAAAAGAGCTAGACGCTCTTTTATAATTTTATTTCTTCGGAGAGCATATTGAAGTGAATGATGGAGAAATAATATGAGTTTTTATTTAAAATTTTGTTATGACTTAATAATTATGTGACGTGAACAGCGTAATAAATTACGTTTATAGAGTAAGAACGCGAGTATAAGAAAGCTTTGTCATGTCCCGGTCGAAAATTTATTTTTGTATATTAGTCTACTAATTTTAAAGATTGTGTCACATTTTGTGTAACAATATGGCTATTATTTTTCGTAATAATATCAGCATATGCGGTGACAAGTGTTAAGGCCAAGTTAGATAAAATTATCGTATTTTGGCTCACGAGAGGTGATACTTCTTGAAATAGTAAATGCTCGAAAAAAAACATTCGCATACATGAAATACTCAATAGAATACTTAATAGAATAAAATTTTAAAAATACTTTATAATGTTCGAGATAGAAAAACGATTGTTTAATCGCAGAGAAAAAAAAAATCTTTAGCATTAGAGTTCTCGTATTTACTTACCTAATGATTATTGAATACATGTTATTGAATTAGATTCTTAATCGGCTACTTTTTTATTTAGGTCCTTTATTTCCTGTTAATAAGCAAAAACGTATCAAATAAAGTAACTTCTTGTCCACCGATAGTCGCACGCTTACTTTGTCCTGGACATATATGCATGCACCGGAGAAGGGAACGCTAAAAACCTTTTAATGTGTCAAAGCCTCGCCTTAATTGGTTTTAATATATCGTTTAATCGTAGTTAACTATAGATTTGGCATTTTCATTCTCTTCTCTTCCACCCTTGATTATGGGCTATAGTGTCATAATACCAGACGTACGTTAGACGTTGCATCCGTCACCGTCACACTCGGACTGTGTTACTAATAAAAATATGATTTCTTAAAAATTTAAACACGCTATCCCACAGTAGGATTTTCACCTGTATCGTGCAGGCGTTTTATATAAAATGCAGACGGAAAAACAGTCAGACACAGAAAAGTTATTTGTAGGCCATACAAAACACTTGGTCTATGCGAAATTTGAAACCGCGTCTCTACAGCGTCGCAACCAAACGCTTAGCTACAGCGTTACAGTACCGTTAACACGATTCCTTAAGATAGCACACTATTTTAGACTTTTTACCACATTCTTACTATTTTTATAAACCGTGACTACATAGGCTAGTGAATTTTATTTGCCGTCACCAGGCATATTCAATCATAATTACTTCTAATACATTATAATGTACAATACGTGGTATGGTTTTACGTGGTAGAGTCGTGCTGCGGCTATATTAATAGTATAGTTGTAGCACGAATGGGTCGGCTCGACCGGGGAAGGACCACGCTCTCACAGAATACCAGCGTAAAATAGCAGCTTAATGCTGCTGTGTTTCGTATGGTGAGTGTAGAGAACCGGAGACCCTTTTTACTGGACAAGAGGCATTCTATCTTAGTCCTCACGGGTGACAACGCATCTGCTTTTTAATTCGTAAACGAAGATAGATGTAGATGTCTATGGGCCACAGCAACCACTTACCATCAGGTGGGCTGTGTGCTCGTCTGTCACCCTTATTCTATAAAAAAAAATACAAATAAATATATACTGCCGATTCTTCTCCGCAGTGGTCTAGGGTTTTTAATCGGTAAAGTTTTTTTCCACATTCTAAAGAACTTGAAATAAGCCATAAGTGAATAGAACGTAATTATAAAACATAAAGGTCTTAAATAGGTATATAAAGCTTGTTGTGAATTTCTAAATGTAAAATATTTCTGTACAAACGACAAAATAAAAGCTATTCCTTACGATGGAGTCAGCAATTACTGCCGCACGAAGTCATTAATGCATTGACAATAAATGTCATTTTATATCATTCTATGCATATAACATGTGTGCATTTTTTTATATTTTAATGCGTTTTCTTATTATAGAATCCTATGATTTAAAGCGCCGAAGTATGAGGGTGACCACATGAATATAGGGAAGGGGATATCTTTTTGTACGATATTTTCATTCTTCGTTAGCCCGAAATGTCTAATACTGGACATGGGCCTCTCCCTTTTCTTTTCTTAGGGAGGATATACCTCAATCGCTTTACAGGCGGTTTGATAATGGCAGTACCCGACGTTTAGCACCTTTGACACTAGGTACTCACCATCGCCGTTTTCTGTATTTTACGTCTAACGTAAATATAGTACTCTATAACTACCGTCATCTATAATGCCAAAAGATCTTTTTGATGTATTCCATAGTTGTCTTTTACGACATCCACGGCACAAAATTGAGTTATGGATTTTCTTATGTCACAACCATGTTGAAATACAATACACGTTTTACTTATTTCTTCTGTACTTCTAACACTTTTTTTATAAAAGTCAGTTAAGCACACACTCCATTTGATGGTAGTGGATGCAGCGGCATATAGATAGACACCTCGTTTAAGTATCATATCGTTGATCCGATCATACAATGAATTCTACTTTGGACCATTGGAAACCTAGGCACTACTTTGGGCGAAATATAATTTCTTCTTCTATGCTAACTTCTTATGTTAATTAATAATATTTTAAGCTTGTTTAATACAACGTAATAAGAAGATAATTTTGTAGCTATATTATTAGCCATATTTATCCTATTTTGTTAAAATTGTTTGGATGACAGTAAGCTTTGTGAATATTAAGATAATTGGTATATGATTTAAAAGGAAGGATGTATGCTTAATATTTTTAACACGCGAATCCCGGTCGATCCATTGAATACGGTTTTATAAATAGGTACGTGAATGAAATTTATATCACCATAATTTCTAAGAACATACTGTAAAGTCTAGATGTCACTGTATATGGCGCTGCATACCATCGCTAATAAAATACGGTAAGCCATAGCGGAAATAAAGGCAAAATATATTTGTGATCGCCTTATTTATTATTACAATGAAACTGTCAATAAATAACTTAACAAAATTTGTTTGGGACATTAAATGATTACAGATTTGAATAAAAATGCTGCTCGCTCGTACGGCTCATGCTATCTACGCTTCTAACCTCAGGAATTCCTGAGAGAGATAAAATGTATTAATTACGAACAAGTCGTAAAATTAAAAATGTTGTACAACCGACTACAATATAAATAAAATGAGAACATCTTCAATGTAGTCGAAGTCAATTAAATACGCATTATTAAGGATAACTGAAAAACTACTGGTCAAATCTTGAACAAATTTATATGGGACCACATGAGAAGCACCAGCTTCCAAATTAAAATCTAAGAAGAAAGAATAATCAAAATCGGTTCACCTATAAACAAGTTCTGGCGTAACACAAATAAAAAATACAGGCGTATTGAGAACCTCCACCTTTTTTTTCGAATCGGTTGAAAATGCAAACCACTGTGCAGATTTCTAAAAAATCGACTGTTTCCCGTCTTTGCGTCATTCAGCTGCCGGTTTTCACGCGAGATTATGTGAAACATTCCCGAAAATGGTTGTTCGTTCCACTCAAAAACTGCGTTATCTTTTATTTTTCAATAACGACATTAAAAATAAGCGCTGCAATAATCATAGCAAGATCCTTTTTGAGAATGATCAAAAGATAATGGATAACCGCACACCGTATAGTTTGCGTTGTTAGCTGTGACGGATTTGGAGCGAATTACTATGGCGCGAGAAACGTCCGCATAGATTGGCCTTTAAGAGTTGTGGCTCTTTCTCACATACATTATCATGAAAAAGCAAAGAATATAAAATAAAAGTAAGAAATAACAAAGTTTCTTTAAAGTGGAATGTACATTTACGATAATTTGTAATTTTTTTGCGATTATTTTCTCTACATAGAAATTCAATAACACTTTTTTTTTAATAAATATGAACTAATGAAAAGGTCGTTTTTAGCCTGTAATAGTCCATGTCTTTGAGAGAGCTACACCAGATATCATGGATTTTAGCGGCGATTTTAAGGCGCCGTTCAAGGGAAACATAAAGCTTTTAATGGCTCTTGCCTAAGTCAAATTTTACAACATCCACGGTTGATTTAGGATAATGAGAAGAAATTTATCTTTGAAAAAAAAATAAAACTAATTTTACAGATTTTATCGTGCTTAATTTTAAATTTTTTTTAACTACAACGGCAATGGATTTCACAACAACGTTGGTCACAGTGGATAGAAGTGTTCATCTTCAAATCGTAGTTGGTTGAGTGTTGACTCTTAAAGTTTGATTTCATTGTCACTTTGTAAGAGTATCATTATTAGTTATTTAGCCGACTTTAAAAAAAGGTTTTCAATTGGACCGTACGTTAGTCTTTTGTATGTACTCGTATGTTACTCGATATATTTTATTTATTTGAAGTGATTTTAATAGTTTTTTTTATTAAATATT